TGATTTAAAAAAAAAAAAAAAAAAAAAAGGTAATTTTGTCACTGTATCCAAAGGCACTTTTCATCTAGAAAAATGTAGGAGGGATTGATGGTCACTTGTACTTTGTTTCCTGTATCAATTTTGGATTTCACAGAGCTTGTGCCAGGACCCTTTTCTGTACTTGGATGGATATTGTGGATTAGCTTAATTTTTGCCAACCTCCTGTTGTATGGGACCATGGCATTCTGTCCTTTCTAGGAAATCCAACTGTATGCGGCAGTTCCAGTTTACAGAGTCCCACACCCTGTACGGAGGTGACATGGTTCTTTATTTTTGCCAACCGTAAAATAATGTTTTCTTTATGCTATTGTACTGTTGGGCTACGTTGTGTTACCTTGTTTGAACCTGCCAGATTTTTAGAGCCAAAGTTAGCATGCAACTAATACTTACTTCACACTCCTTTTCATATAAGTCATTGATTTACTTACTATGAATTCATGCTCTTGAACTTGATTAGTGGACACTCCTTGAAGGACCATGTTTTGCATCATACAAGAACACAACTTCATGGTTGCCTAGATAGTTCTTGCACAATGACTTGTGTAATAGGGTTTCTAAAGGCTTATGATCTGTTTCTGCCTCAGTCCATTTCTACCAAATAAATATTCACATCACAGAAAAATTGCTTGTATGTTTTTCAGTCAGAGCTTTGCTTTGTTGTGTTTTGAGTCAATCCTTCAGAAACCTGTACTACTGAATAAACATTATGAAGACTTTTCCTCAGACTCCCCAGTTTTTCAATAACACAGTGGTTCTCTGAACCTCTCTTTTGTTACCATTTTTTTCTCTCTTGTCAATCAACTCATTATCAGTTTATTTAGAAGTGGAAACTTCAATCCCCGTGAATTTTTCTGAAGTCTCCTGGAGATCTTTAAAATTCAGTAAAATCCTGAATCCTGAGGTCTTACTCAGTCTGCCTCTCTCCCTCATTTTCTGGGGATGCGTGAAAATTCAGTGGACTATAAAATGCATTCTTGCCTAACAGCTGGTACCAGTCAGTGTTTCTGGCATTTGTTTTTCATCGAGTATGTGCCATCTCCTTTGGCATGGAGCAGAACAGTTTACAGTATCTTTAAATGGGCTGTCTGTTGTTTTCCTCTGAACTTTTTCACCTGTTCTTTTTTTTTGCTTATATTTTTTGAGGGGCCTTTGTTAGCATTTTCTAGTGTCCTTGCTTCATTAGAAATGACACCGGATGTGCTGAATGCACAAATGGATGATTGTAAGACAGATTGGCCCTGCTCAGTTTCTGTGTAATCTGGAACATAATGCTTTGAGTATATATTTGGTGTTGAGACCCACTCCGTAAATGTTTAGATTTATTTATTTGTATGTGTATTAATATAATCATTTTATGAAATGCAAAGCTAGTAGTCAAAAAAGTTCAGAAGGCTTCTGTTAAGCCAAACTGTAGCCTTTCCTCTGCAATCAAACACATCCTTTCATGCTGATGTCCACCTGAACTGTTATGGCTGAATAGTGGGTGTATTTATTAGTTTTATCTAGATTGCTTAATATGTAATCGTCCTCTATTTGCTTTAATGTCTTGTGGTGCTTTTAAGTTAACAGTTCATTGGTGCCTACTGTCGTCCAGGAATCTCTTATACTGACAAACCATGAAGGTCTATATCTGTATCTCACTGGTATCTTATCCATTGGAGTTTCTTTTGTCCTTATATTATCCTGTTCCATTGAGCAGCTTGTACGTGCTATACAAAAAATGTTTTCTTTCCATCTGTACAAAGGTAATATATAACTGATAAAATAAGCAGGTGAGGAATGCCATTTGAAAAAAAAATGTGGACAATTTCTTGTTTCACCATTTCAGACTCTTAAGTGATCTGTTCTTTTTCAGATGTACCAAAAGAGGTCCTTATATTATCCTGTTCCATTGAGCAGCTTGTACGTGCTATACAAAAAATGTTTTCTTTCCATCTGTACAAAGGTAATATATAACTGATAAAATAAGCAGGTGAGGAATGCCATTTGAAAAAAAAATGTGGACAATTTCTTGTTTCACCATTTCAGACTCTTAAGTGATCTGTTCTTTTTCAGATGTACCAAAAGAGGCTTTTTAAGAGTTTGTATTTTGTCCCCATGATTAGCATAGTTTGTATGGAAGAGAGGGGTGGGAGTTATTTTTATGTAGGGTGGTTGCTAATCTTTTCGGGTGTGCTTACTCTGACTTGCTGTAATATGTGTGTTTTCACATTCTCTTTTTGGTTCACTTATTTCTGGTGTTGGAAACAATGCTGTTTGAGAACCTTGTTTGCTAAATTTGTTGAGAGATGGAAAACATGTACTGCTTCGTTCATTACCAGAACTCTACTTCTTCTCTTACTATTCATTAATATTACACTCCTATATTAGTTTTGGCACTTCATGTACAACTCATATGTGGCCAGTGTTACTCTTTTACATGGAAGTGGCACTTCCAAAACAATAACTTGGCACCTATATAATATCACATTGTTTGTGTTGGGACAGTTTCACTTTGTGTTCCAATTGCCTCCATGCTTAATGCAAAACAAATCTTGTCTGAGGATTTGTTTCCCCTTGTTTGCTGTCTCTATGGCTTGGAATGTATTCTAAATTAAATTCACTACTGTTCATTACTTCTGTTCTTTCACTTCTTTTTAGTGCTTTTTCATTTAACGCTTTCACCTAGCCTTACAGATATGCACTGTTCTTGGTACTGCCATGTTCACTTCTTGTAGTAAACCAACCTTGACGTGGTTACCAGTTCTATGAAGATTACTCGTGCCTAATGGCAGGTTTTTCATAAGGAAAATGCGACCTTCCCCAAATGTAAATTCCCCCCCCCCCCTTTTTTTTTGGAGGGACCTTTGTTAGCATTTTGTAGTGTCCTTCTTGCTTCATTAATAAAGACACTGGATGTCCTGCATGCAGAAACAGATGACTTCACCCTCTCTAGTTGCTGTGCTCCCAAAGAAATTTGGAAGTGCTATAGCTAAGTGACTCCATTTTCATCCCAGAGTCTGTTTTCTTCTCATACCATGCAACACAGGCATGCTAAGAGTCTGGTCTCTGTTTTTTGGCATCGGTCACTTTACAAGGATCTGCAGTTGTCAGAAAGCGATACTTTGGTCCAAAGCAGGTGTCTGTACCCACAGACTCCAGACTGCTCCAACAAGGAGACGTGCATAGCTTGTTCTCTTTGGGATCAGTCTTTCGCTGAAGAGTCCATGGGAATTTTACTGCCAAGTTAGTAAGAGAAGTGTGGGGGCCCCATTTTGTTTCTTTTGTGAGCTGATGACTTGCCTGTATTTCGCTCACCCAGGTGAACATGCCTACAAATGTTCCTCCTGCTCATTTTCCACCATGACAATCAGCCAGCTGAAAGAGCACTCCTTGAAAGTGCATGGGAAAGCACTGACACTACCAAGACCCCGCATTGTCAACCTTGCAGCCTCACACGCCCACCACACCTCCAAGAACCACACTCCTGCTGAAGAAGTGGAGGACTCTAATGGTAAGAGGTGCCTCAGAGCAATAATTTAATTGTCTAAGGTGCCACTTAATATTTGTATTACAAAAAACATTACAGCAGGCAGCTTGCCCAAAAAGCAGCTTCATTTGATCGTTAAGAAAAAACAGAAGTTGCATCAAAAACAAGAGTAAACGTGGTGTTGTAGGAAGTGACCTGCTTTAGATCCTCACCATTTCATACTACATTAACTTGTCCTGTCACCAGTTGACTTTGGAATATGTCAGTGCTGGCTTTACTTCTTAGCAGACATTTAAATGGTAGAAAACTTTCAAAGGCAGAGCTTCTGTTGATAGCCAGTGGGAAAGGGATCATCTAATTCCATCCACGCTCCTGAAAAACACCCCTTTATCTTGTTAGTAGAGCACTTCAGTGAAACCACATGATTAAGCTTAAAATGTGAACCTGTAATGATAGTAAAAGTAATTATTATTCTTGTCCTTGCTACAGAGGACACCAAAAGTACCTTCAGATATTAAGCTGCATCTGCAGGAAGGAGAATCTGAGAACCATTTTCTTTTCCATGCTTTCTTTGAAATCTGTTGATCCCCTTGTGCTGGAGGAGTATGCAGACGATATTTGGAAAGCAGCAGAGGAAGGGATGCTGTTAACAGAGAAAATGCGTATTCACAGAAGAGGTGTTGTGTGTGGTATCACAGCAAGTGTTAAGGCTTTTTAAGTGGTAGCTTATGAGGCATGTTTTGGGTGTCACTTCCTGCCAATTAAGAAAAGAGATGGTCTTTGGGAAGAAAATCTTAATTCCTGGGTGAGTTGCATTGACATAGGAGGAGAATGTAGGTGACTATAAATAAAAGGTTCAGACCTGCAGATGTTCAAGGAACTGGGATGGATGGAGGGCGTATTAGAAGCGGGGAAAAAAATACCTTTTTTCTAGAAGTTTGAGGGGGTCTTAGGTTTTTTTGTTGGTGCTGTTTTACTTGGGTTACTGGTGAACTAAGGATGGGAGGTAAATATTATCGGTAATCATTCTGTAGCGTTTTTGGTCTCCCATCTTCCCTTCTTTCCTTTCTCACCAGAAAAAAGTGTGAAATGAGAAAGAGTGAAAGATAAGAAGTAAGTTCAGAAAATGGCAGAAAGGAATTGAAAGAAAAAAGTAATCAGCATATAAATACTTTGTTGAAGAAAAAGAGAGACGTGAATAATATTTTTGTGGTTCAGCAAGTCACTTCTGGGGTCAGAATTGCAATTTTATCAAAAGATTTTGACCAGCTGCTCTCAGACTACCTTTTGTCAAAGGGTTGTCTGGAACAGTGCAATGAAGACTTACTAACTGAGCTTTTATTTTTGCTAATGCTAGCTTAAACTAATCCAACAAGCAGAGTACATCTTGTGATGTATTCTACTGCTTTTTTATTGCTTTTTAAAAAGAAATGTTCCGTTACTGACTAAGAAGTGGAGAATAATTTTCAGTGGCTGTCCTAGCCTTTCCCGTGTGTTAGCAATCTTTTGGTAGCAATGGTGTGTTGAGAGATACAGAAGGACAATATTTGAATTTGGGAAGGATGGTTCATTTACTCCTTTTTTTGCTTATCCCAGGAGCTCAAAGTCATGATTAGTGAAGTTAAAATTTGAGTGCAGATCTCTGTAGAAGGTAATTTTACAGCCTTTAGGAACTCTTCCTAAAAATTCATAAAAAGATGACTCTGTTAACAAAAGCATTTCATGTGGTTGCCTCTGTTACTTAGATCTATATTGCAGCCTGAAACCAAGGCAGAATTTGTCCCAATTAGCTTGATAATTTTTAAACAGGGTTAGTGGTTAAGTCACTTTGACAATAATAGAAGTCACCCACTGGGGAGCCAGTCATATGAGTACAGGTGTTATAATAATCGTGTTAACATTTTCAGCATTGCTTGAGGAAGGAATAACCTGTTTTAAGTAATTTTTTTACATTAGGAAGTTGGCTGCAGATCAAGTTAATGATGGCTGCTCTTATGACATCATTTATTTTTGGTTTTTAGAAGGGAATAAATCAATGTCTCTGTGGCCTAGGCCTGCAAGTTGCAGGTGATGTGTAGGACTAGATAAAAGACTGGTCCCAATAATAGGAAATGCAGGTCTGTGTGACAGGCACTGTTATGTCCAGCTGGAGCCAATATTAAGTGGGGCTCACATGGTGTAGCATAGTTGGGTTTTGCCTGTGTTAGTGTGCGTAAATAACCTGCAATGTGGGCTGCGATCAAGTTAATTCACTGGGGATGCAAAATTGAATCAGGGCTGGGGTGAAAGGCAGACAAACGGTTGCCTCATGTTACGAACTTGTTTTGTAGGTTGGTAGGTATGCAGCAGGCTAGCATAATTGAAATGGTTGCAGGAAGGGATGGTTGTCTGTGGATGAATATTTTGGTTGGAATAGGAACTAGAGCAGGATGACTTGGGAGATTGAGGAGCTAGCGGAACTTGTCTTGCCAATTGTTGAGCCCTGTAAAAATGGAGAAAAGGGAAAAAGGTACTGAATTGTAATAGCAGAGCGTGTGTCTGAATAGAACTGTTCTGGGACAACAGCCCAGTGGAACTTCTGCTGATGATTTTTTTTCCTGCAGAAATTGTTCCCTGAGGGGCCTTACTTAGAACATTTCTTTTTTTCTTTTAGGTTGATCCATTCATTAAAAGATGCGAATATACTTAAATTTCTGTGACTCAACTGTTTTAGTTCTGTGTTGGTAGCAGCAAGCATATCTGAAGTGTTCAACTATATATATCCTGGAGATGTTTTTGGTCCTTGATATACTTTTAATGGAAGTGAAGTTAAAGTGGAGTAGGTGCTGAACATTTTAGATAGGCCCATCCCTGAACTACATTGTCATTAGAAAGCGTAACAACCACTTTAGTGCTTGTATGCCTCTTTCAGGGCAGTAGTGTAAGAAGGTGATTGTGTTAGTGAGTCAGCAGAGAAGGCTTTCTTACAGAGACATCACTGGAAGATGCTGCTGTTTGTATCCTACCACTCTCTGCGTATTGGGTGATATTTGGATATGTAGGGAACCTGTTTTCATTGTATCTTAATTTAACTAGAGGTAAAGCACTCAGGTTTTTTTCTGGGGGGGAGTGATGTTGTTTTGGTTTGGGGGTGTTTTTCTTACAAACAGCCACAAAAAACCCAGCAAATGTTGATCATCAGTGCAACTTTTCTCTGTTTTGCATGGCATAGGGGCACTGAATGGTTTGTGGTGTCCAACTCTTGTTGAAATGATAAGGTTGCCATTGTGGTAAAATGTTCTTTTGCTCTCCCGATAGTTTACAGGTATTTTTCCTCTTGCAAGAAAGAAATGGTGGTGTTTTGACTATTTATTTGCATTTGTGTGGTTTGCTTTTTAGTTGTCCTTTACACTGAAATGTGGCTTAACGCTTTTGAGAACTTACAGAGTAAAAATTCAGTGTAAATTGAAATATTACAAACTGCTAGGAGGATTGTGTGAATCCCCTAACAAGATCTGTTTCCGTGTTCTTTCACAGTCTTTGTGAGAATCAGAACTTATATTCATGTTAATCTCTGCCCAGAAGGGTTGTATGGATTTATTGATGATACTGTCATCCTGTGGGGCAGTATGTGTCACAGATAAGGGTTTCCAGTGTTGCACCGTGCAGGGTCAGCTCTGTTCCTGTTGACTTGAGTGCAAGGCAATGGAATCCCACAATCTGCATTGTCAAGGCATAACATTGGAAGACTACTGTCTGTTTCAAAAAGGGAAGAGTTGGAAGCAAGGCAGAGATACAAAAATTGTGTGACTGAACACTAGAAAACAGAATAGGAAAAATAGCAACAGGTGTTATCTGCAAAGTGATCATCAGCTAAGGAGAAAGCACGTGGCAACAGACGCTGCTTCTGTAAGCACTGGTGTTATGCATGTTTGCTTGTATTCAAGGGCTGTGGAGGTGGTGGACTGCCTTCCTCTAATAAACTGGAGAAATCAGTGAGTGCAACCTATTGTCATAAAGCCCATAAAGCAGAATGACTCAATAGATTGATAAACGGTTTCATGTTATGACTTCACCCTCAGCAAATGCTTCTTGGGAGCATGTAAAATACTTGCCCTAAATTGCCCTGGCTAGTATTACTGCTTTTTTGAGTAGCTCTTTATTTTGTGAAAGTAACCCCTTTGGCTAACTGCGTTGTAGAGCGAAGTACCCCTCTTTATTCATATGGCTGGCAGATTTGGAGCCTCATAAATTTGTTTGTATCAAGACTGTGTGCAGTAATTCAAAATAATAGTTTTTTAATTTTACTGATTAAGAATATTGAATTGTCAAAATAAAACAATAAAGTGCAAGTGATACACTAGACAGACCTGGATGTGGCTTCTAATGTCTTCTCAGTCATGCTGCTATTGTACAAGATCATTCCTTTTTAGTGGTAACAAGTTCTTGAAATGTAGAAAGCAGCAGTGTGTGCCCTTGAAGCTCAATAATCATGATTTTCACTGTTGTGCAAACCAAACGGGATCTATCATTAATAGCAGCACACAGCACAAAACACATGCAGGGTCAGAACTAGATTTTTTGAGTTTCACAGTACATGGTATGTCAACATCTTCATTAAATTTAATTACTTGCAGCAGCAAATGCGTTGAAAACTGTGAAGTGAAACACCCAGTGCTGTGTTACAGCTTTTTCTGAACTTTAGCCTTTGCCAGTGGAAAAGAACTTTGCCTCATCTGGAGACTGAAATATAAATACACCTGCTTGCTTTGCCAGAGCTAGGCTGGGTACAAAACTGCTTGACTAAGTCCTGTTTCTGGGACTGATGTTTAAGAACTGTAAATCCCTTCCCATTTTTGTACACTTTCAAAGTGGATAATGCATAATCAGGATACGCGTCTTCTGTGGCACTTGACAGATGAAATCCTGAGGGGTGCAGAGGGCCTTTAGCAGGTTTGCTAAAGCAATTTCATGTACTACCAGAACAAGAGGAGAGAACAGTGGGAAGCAAGGAGCCTTTTCAACAAAATTCTCTCAGATGGTGC